CATTTGAGCACTAACTGGTAAATCATCAAAACAGTAACTCAGGAGACCTCATGGGAGTACTCAGTTTTCTCCTTTCTCATATTAGAAATCAGAGGCTATGCTGAAAACTACTATAAACAACTCTGTCACCACCAACCTAGCTTGGATAAAAGAAATCCAGAAAGTCCTAAAATCATTTCTGCAACCAATTTTTGGCCTGAACGCATTTATGGTGTCATGTCTAATCTGACTTTTTAAGCAGATTTCACCCTGATACATATAAAACCAGTCCTCATAGAAGCTTTGGCTTAAATTCAGTAGCATTGAGTATTATTCGTCAAAATAAATATAAATGTTTAGCTGTGGCTTGCATTTCTTTACAGTGTTGATCACTGAAAACAGTGAATTTTACACTCCACAGGGCAGAAAACTTGAAAAAAAAACACCAAAAAACAAACAACTGAGAGCAAGTGAGTTTCCATACACAGAAACAGGACCTAATTATCCTTTTTCATGGAACAATTCAAGAGTCACTGCTTCAGTGGTGACAAATTGGCACTCACTTTTTCCAGAAGTCTCCCATCATCTTTCCTTATGTACACTCTTCTAACAAATAATTTTATTTAGGTTTTTTTTTTTCTCATACAGACAGGGCTACATCAACATGTTCAAGTTTGCAGCTTAAACTTCTCTGTGTCAGTCAAATCTGAATGTTTGGTCTGCCCACTGTTAAAACAAGGAAATCTAGATTCTAATCCATATCTTTAATCTCCAAGATTCTTCAGGTTTTGCCCTGTTTAAACACATCTTGCACATCCCTGAATGCCACCCAAATTCCTCAGTTCGCTACACCTGCTTCCTTCATAGGGATTTACGCTATTTACACCCAGGCATGCATTTATCAGAAGGAAAATTGGGAAAAGAGGTTGTAACGGCATCATTAGCACTGCCTGGTTCACTTCTTGAAATCTCAGTTGTGCAGCTGCCTCTCCCACCCTCACCTCATGGGCAGCTGAGGGCTGCAGCCACAGTTTTCACACCTCACTCCTATATATATACAAATATTTAGAGCCAATCTGACATTTTGTACCCCGGTAGTTTGTCTGTAAAATGATAGTAACAAAAATTCCCCAGATACGCCATGGAGATATGAGGATGAAATAAAAGACTCTTCTCACAGCTCCTCTGAAATCATTAAGATTTTCAATACTGATCTTGAAAGGAAACTAACATACTTGAAGTAGACACCTGCTAAAACTCCAATGAAATTACAAGATAAATTAATAGGATCCCTTGCTCTTTATCTTTTTGAAAATATAAAGTGCTATTTATATGATAATTGTGACATGATACCTTTAGATGAAGTTACAAATATTTTTTAAAAGGGAAAGGAGAGGGAAAAGAGAAAAAGGACACCCTGAGAGCTGAATTTATCCAGACAAGCAAAATAGCATAGAGGCCCAACTGGTCTTTATCTATGGTCTTGTTGCAAAGACTGGGGAGCTTTCTCAAATGCAAAGTATAATTGTGAAAGCTTTTCCCGAAAGGCATATAACTGACATCCCTGCCATGGTCAGGAAAGACAGTTTCTAGCTGCATATAAAGCACTGAAATCTCCAAACTAATGCTCAAAACCTAAACAGGATCATCCTTATAAAACAGATGTTGAGCTGACTCCATATTTTTCAATAAGATTATACATTGGTTTGAGTGTACATGCAACTGACCTAATCCGTTCTTAACCCTGTTAACAAATATGAAAACTTTTTTGCTGAGAAGTTTCCTTTTCCAAAAATCTGGTGTGAGCTGAGTTGGTTCCCCTGATGATGCACTTCCCACCTCAGAGTTGTTGCTGGGAACATGCAAGATACGTCTTCATATCCTTCTCCATATCAGTTCTTAAAACTCCCTTTCCAATAACATGTATGAAAATGGGTAATAAAACTATTGAGCCTACCACAGCCTTGCTCGTTTCTTGGGATCCCCCATCTGTACGTCCACATCCATCGTCCATCCCTGGGCCTACACTTTTGATTACAAGCTATTTGAGAGACTAGTTGCTGTTCAATGTTTGTGCACTCTGTATCACAATAAGTTCTGAGAAGCTATTCTAATACAAAGAAGTTGCAATAATGAAGAATTTCACCCTTCCACTTGTTAAAAATACAGCAGCAAAATGTGTAGCACTTAGAAAGTGGAGATACATTGTAGCTCCTCGATAGTTGATGGCACCTTTAAGTGAAAGCTTAGCACCATAAAGAACTATACCTGGGCCAAAGTGTGGAAATACACACACATTCATGTGCATTTCATGTCACATCATATAATTCTTTGGCTGCTACCTACACAGAGATTTAAAAAAAAAAAAAAAAAATCTGTCCAAAGGATGTTACAGAACATCATATAAGACTGGAGAAGTTTTCCACTCTGTTTGTGGTCATTGCTCTCCACTCTTACTTTTGTCCTTCAAACTGTTCTGTCCAGCCATGCTGGCAGAAAGCTGAGCCTGGCACCTCTGGAGAAGGGAACTGGATAATTCCACCCTACTGACCACTGCATACACCTCCTTGCTTTCTGTACTTTTTCCAGAAAATTCAGGGATCAGAGCTTGCCACGACTCAGGCTTTGCCACCCACCTGACTTGGCAATTCATACAGAAATAACTTCCAAAATAAGTACCAGAGTGATTGAAAACAGCACATTTTCAGGGCTTCTTAATAAACAACACCCTAAGTCATCTACAACCTTGAGCTTTTGTTGCCTTTAAACAGGCTTTTCATGAAAAATATTATTCTTTCAGGAGCAATTGCATCACCACTTTATTTCAAATCCTCAGAGATTACAAAGGAAAACTCTTCATTTTCCATAGTGCTGTCTTGACAGACATCAACATTTATCACCTATTACATTAGCAGATTTCAAAAAACAGATGGACGTTAACAAAAAGGGCTATTGCAAGACCACTCTCCAGTGGCAGACTGTGATTTGGGCGATCCAGCAAGAAGAACCACCCCTGAGCATTTCGCAAAGCTGGAGCTGAGCAAGTGGAGCTATGGGCTCAGTGCTCCAGCTGGCTGGTGGAGTGAGATGCAGCAGGAGTGGTTGGGAAATGGGTAGAGCTGTTGAAAAACAGCTCCAGACCCCAGCAGCCACCAGGAGCCTGTTGAATGTCGCTGGGCTGCACTCAGGTCCCCGTATCTATAGGCTAAAAAATAATAGTTGCCAGACAGAAGCACCCTGAAGGGCAGATCTGAACCTCGAGTCTGTCAATTGGCCTTTATATTCCTCCCACTCATGGAACAAAGAGGAATCAGGGAGGGTAAAATGCAGCTCATAAGTATGTCTTGAGTCATCACGCTGTTTCTTTGCTTGCATTTGAACCTGTTATAAACTCGCAGGCTGTTATACGTAATGAGCCACAGCTACATCACTGGATCCAAACCATTTACATGACACTAGTATCACTATATTCATCAGTGAGGGAGAAAAAAACCATCAACACGAGTTACACATAGATGCAAAGCTTTTCTGCAGAAGTTATCCGGTCAAGAACAATGTGATATGGTCCAGAGCATTGTATTAGTGATTTCCTACCCAAACCTTGCATAGTTATTTTTATATCACTTTCCTGTGAGCTTCTCAATGTTAAAGGTTTATTCTGAATTTAATGCAGTGGTGAAATTAAAGAAAATTACCAGTACCAGCTACCTTCTTATTTAACAAGCCTTGATCATTGATTAGTAATGTCACTTCTACTTCTGAGAGTGATGGGTGATGGTGGTTATTGAATGCAGCAAGAATGTACTCCTGACAGCTCATGAGCTCATGCTGCCTGTCAATATTATCAAATATTTTTAGAAGTCATTATAGCAATTTGCTATATTTTATCTATATCTATATATATATATATAAAAAACACTCAGGCTTAAAATATGTTCTCAAATAAAACAGAGGAAATAACTTCTCCACAGTGAAGCTAAAACCCAAGGAGGGCACAATAGTAGTTTGCAATAATGGATGCAGTATTTTATTGCAGTAACAATTAGGCAGTTTAGGGAGTATAAGCCAAGCAAGTAATGTTAGAGGGTAACAGACTGGTGGGGCTGGACATGAGTACCTTGGTGGGCAGTGGCAGATCCCATTTAGAATCATAGAAACGTAGAATGGTTTAGGTTGGAAGGGACCTTAAAGATCATTGAGTTCCAACCCCCCTGCCATGGGCAGGGACATCTCCCACTAGACCAGGTTGCTCATAGCCCAATCCAGCCTGGCCTTGAACACCTCCAGGGATGGGGCATCCACAGCTTCTCTGGGCAACCTGTTCCAGTGTCTCACCCCCCTCTGGAAGAATAATTTTTTCCTGATATCTAACCTAAACCTACTCTTCTTCTGTTTAAAACCGTTACCCCTCACCCTATCCCTACACTCCCTCATAAAAAGTCCCTCCCCATCTTTCCTGTAGGCCCCGTTTAGCTACTGGAAGGGTCTATAGGTCTCCCCAGAGCCTTGTCTTCTCCAGGGAAGAATAATTTTTTCCTGATATCTAACCTAAACCTACTCTTCTTCTGTTTAAAACCGTTACCCCTCACCCTATCCCTACACTCCCTCATAAAAAGTCCCTCCCCATCTTTCCTGTAGGCCCCGTTTAGCTACTGGAAGGGTCTATAGGTCTCCCCAGAGCCTTGTCTTCTCCAGGCCCAACTTTCCCAGCCTGCCCTCACAGAAGAGGTGTTCCAGCCCTCTCATCATCTTCATGGCCCTCCTTGGTACTACAAATATGATCAGAGGCTGGAGCAGCTTTCTTCCCCCCTTCCTTTCCACATACTCCCTACGGCTGTGATGAGGGCAGCAGATATGACCCAAAACGGCCTGATGCGGAACGGCCTCAACTCTTTTTCCTGCTGCCTATTGCCGCAAAGCCACAAACGCTTGTCCCTGCAAATCTCAGTCATGCGTGAGGTTGCAGTAAAAGCACCGGGGCGGGGGGTGGGGTGGGGGGTGCTGCCGGCCGGGGATTTGGGATGAACGGGGAAACCGGACCCTCCCGGGCGGCTGGAGGGGAGCTCGGCCGCAAGCCCCGGCCCATAAAGTGGTGGCCAAGCAGAGGGGCGGCCGGGCTGCTGGCAGCCGCTTCGGGCGGCGAGTCCCTCGTCGGTGCGGGGAGCTCCCGGCTCCTGCC